AATTCAGTGTTGAGGGAAACACTGCTTGACTCAAGGCAAACCCACAAGCATTCAGAGAAGATTGGAGCGTTACAGAAACATAACCATATAACTAAATGTACGGATCGTTCGAGAGCAACCTTGCTAAGATGTGGCTGGCTCTCTTAGCAACATTTTTTTTTAAGAAAAAAGAAAAAAAAAACTAAAACAGTAGCAGGCGTGAAAAAAAACAACAACCAGCAGTATTAATTTAACTGCAAATCCAACATGGCAGGTGAAGAACCTTATCCAAAAGATGTTTTATATATATTGCAATGCAAAACAGGCTTATCCACCATTCAAAAGTAGATTGTTGGATTTCAAACTTTTTCAGGTCTCTTCATAAAAAAGGAAAAAATCCCCAGAATGGACCAAGTTAAAAAAACAAAAAACTCTAGAAAGTACTATTTTTTTTTCCTTTTTAAACGCTCCTCATGAAATTACACCGTTTGAAAAACCCTGAATTAGATTACCCTAAATTTATACCTGCCTACATGTCCCCCCCCCCATTTCCCCACAATTTCAGGGTTCACTTCTTTTTTTGGGGGGTAGGGGGTAGAATCAGCAAGTGTTGATCCATCAGAACCAGAGTCTGGAGTTCAACTTGGCCCCAGAGCAAAATTCATTATACTCGCCCAAAGTGGATTTTTTGAATAGCTGCCTCTGGAAAGGGAGGAAAAATTGCCTCTTAGCCTCCTAATCGATCAAAAATTTGTTTGATGGATAGAAAGATCCAACAATGTCAATTTACCGTGGTTGCAAAATCTATCCAATCTATCTGGAAATTCCTGGATTTGCACTAGTGATGGAGAAGGAGAACAATTAGTGTGCAATTTTGTTGAAAGATTTGAAAGAAACTCCAAAGATAAAAGAATGGGCAATTTACATATACCAGTAAAAATAAGGGATTGCTTTTAGCCCGTTATTTACACGTGCAACTTTATTTTTTATTATTATTATTTCTTTTTCTTTCTTTCTGTTTTATAAGATACTGTACAGGGATTGCAAAATCTCTAACCAGACAGAACACGCCAGCTGTCATTCCTCCATTGTGCAAAATCTCTAACCAGACAGAACACGCCAGTTGCCATTCCTCATGTCTGTTTTAAAAAAATTACTTTTTTATTTTATTTTATAGAAGTCTAGCAAACCGGGATTTTAATAATTTAACATCAGCCTGCTGTCTGTCTGGGTTTGTGTGTGTTTCAACAACAAAAAATTGTGCAGTCTCTAAAATACTCTTAAAATGTAGTTGCCTTTGTTTGTAGACTCTTACGAGTAATAGGGCCTTTTTCCTAAAAGGCGGTGAGCCCTCCAGGGTTACTCCGCATCAATAAATCATCTGCTTTCACTTGATCCAATCGTTTTCCTCTCTTTGTTGTATTTTGATTATTTGTTTTAAGCTCCCTCTTAATTCTCCACTGCCAATCTGACGGTAGGAAATGAAAAGGTGTAAATTGCGAGCGAGATCCATAAATCTTCGGTCACGATGGCAGCCTTTAAAAACAAAAATTGATATAAACAACTGCGTCACTAACTAAGGGATTCACTTAACAACTGGGGAAGCAAGGTTGTCAAAGGAGGCAAAACTCACTTAACAGCTGTCTTTGGGCTCCATGAGGGTCGTAAGTCGAGGGGTGCTTGTATTTTAACCTTGATCAAATAAGTCAACTTTGTATTCCTTCCCTTTGCCGAAGTTTGTGTAAGTTCTTATCTAGGTCTTTGGATCAAACGGGCTGATTTTGCATTGCAAGTTGTCATCCAAAGAATTAGGTCAATCGGTTTAGATAAGGATCTGTTTTGGCCTGCTCCCTAGCGTCTGAAGGAGGTGTGTGGGAACAACCTCCTATTGTTTGCGGCTTGTGGGTAAAAACACTCCGAAACTGACGTGGTTACTAGTCCCAGCAGGCCAATCTTTTCCACGTTATCTAAAGATCTGCTGAAGTTGGTAGTTTCTCTTTTGGGTTTTCGCTCTCTTTGCGGCCAGCAACTTTTCCAGGGTGAATCTCGTGAAGCATGTTTCCACCCAATACGGGTTATCCTCCATTTTGCAACCGTTCGTTTAGCGTCCGTTTGAAGCTACAACATTACAGATAGTCCTGGGCCTTATACAACCACAACTGAGCCCAACATTTCCCCCATTAAGTGAGACATTCATTCAGTCAATTTTACAAACCTTCTTGGCACCGTTGTTAAATGAATCCCTGCAGCTGTTAACTTAGTCACACGGTCATTAAGTGAATCCATATTCCCCCCTCCCCATTGACTTCACTTGTTGGAAGGTCGCAAAAGGAGATCGTGGGATGCTGAGACCATCATAAATGTGAACCACTTGCCAAGCATATCTGAAGTTTGATCACATCATCGCGAGGATGCGGCCAATGTCATAACTGCGAAAAACCGTCTTAACCTAAATCCCTTTTTTCAGTGCCGTTGTAACTTTAAATGGTCACTAAACTGAACTGTTGTAAGTCAAGGACTACCTATACTGCAAAAAGTGATTTATGACCCTGTAGCCATCATTCATACGGGTCAGCTGCCAAGCGCCTGAATTTTGATCACGTGAACACAGGGGTCTGCGAGCGGTCGTAAGTGTGAAAAACGGTTCTAAGTCGCTTTTTTCGTAACTTTGAATGTTTGCTAAATGAACTGTCGTAAATCAAGGACACCCTGAAAGTCTGGATTTTGTTTTCCTCCAAGGAAATGCTCACCTAATGAGCTGGCCTGCCAGAGAAACTCCCAAGTTTTCAAAATGACAAACGGGCTGAGTTCTCAAAGCAGAGAATTGACCCATTTTCTGATTCACATAATAAACCTGAATTGCAAGCCGTCATGAGAGATTCGCTCGTTTTGTCACCAAACAAACCAACAAACCAACCCTTCCACGTTCGGATTAGACCAAAACGCCCAAATTTTGATCGCGTGGGATGCTGCAACGGTCATAAATCTGAAAACCGGCCATAAGTCACTTTTTTCCAGTACAGGTAGTCCTCGACTTACGGAGGTTCATTTAGCGACTGTTCAAAGTTACAAGGGCAGTGAAAAGAGCGACTTAGGTCCATTTTTCACACTTACGACCGTTGCAGATCACGTGACATTGACACCATCCTCGTGATCAAAATTAAGAGGCTTGGTTCACATTTATGACGGTCGTAGTGTCCCAAGGTCACATGATCCCCTTTTGCGACCTTCAGCTAAGCAAAGTTAGTGGATAAGCCAGATTCACTTAACAACCAGGTGACTAATTTAACAACTGAAGGAGTTCACTTAAGGACCGAGGCAAGAATAGTCGTCAGATGGGGCAGATTTCAGTTAATTACTGTCTCGCTTAAATTTTGGGTTCACTCACTTGTGGTCATAAGTCAAGGACTATATACAAACAAGCCAGGAAGAAACTTGACACGCCACTGCCCTTTTTAATCTTCGGTGGATGTTTAATTGGCCATTTGTAAAAAAACACAGGACCTGAGTCATTTTGGTAAGAATATCTTGTTTATTAAGAGAATTCTCTGCCTTTTCCTTCCGGCAGCAAAGTGTTAACAAATGACTTGTTTTACGTTCCACAAGGTGAAAACTCACTCTGCAGCTAGGCAGCCTGTCAATCACGGCCTGGATCATGCCAGGTATAATTAAATAAATAATCTCGCAGCGAGGCCGAAGGCGGAGTTCAAAGTGTCCACATTTTGAGAAGGGAAAAAAACAAAACAGCAGCAACCTAAGTTTTCCCAAATTCAAGAACTCAAATTCTCCAATTCAGAAGAGCCAAATCTTCATCTTCTTCTTCTTCTTCTTCTTCTTCTTCTTCTTCTTCTTCTTCTTCTCCTTCTCCTTCTCCTTCTCCTTCTCCTTCTCCTTCTCCTTCT